CCCCGGCATGGGGCAGAGCGAGGGGGAAACCCGGCCGGGGCGGCCCCCCGCCTGCGAAGCGGGGTGCGGTTTTGTCCCCCGCCAGGTCAACTAGCAGCTTGTTGATAGCCCCCCAAGAATTCGCCCCGCGGTCTAGCTGCCCGAGCCTCGAAATTACGCAGAGCACTCAAGTGGCTTGTGAGCCAGCAGGCTGCGGTTGATTAGCTCCGCTTAATTGGCCGTTTTCAATCAGATCTTTTCCAAAATAGCTCCTGAGCAGGCCGAACAACCTAAGGGAATCGGCGCCAGGGGGAAATGAGCTGTGGAAAGCAAGCAGGGATCCACGGCAGTTGAAGGGTAACCTCAGCAGACCCCCTGTGCAAGCCGAGGGTGAGCTGTGGCCCTTGCCGACGGAGGCCGGCCCGCCAGCTCCGCGGGGACGGCGCTGGTTTTCAAAGCTGGTCTTGCCAATTTAGAGGCACATGCACCGGAGCCCCGTCCCGTCCGCACCAGTGGCTAAATGAGTATCAAAAGCTACTGGAGTTTTTGCTCGCTCATGGTGAAATAAAAACCTTTTTGTACTTGTGGGTAGTGTAGTCTTAAAAGTGGTTTTTGAATTCTGTTCCTGATGCGGGACAACGCAACAGACCCGGGCTGGGCCACTGACTTTGTACTTGAGCATCTATTGACGCGTGTAGCAGTGGGCAGGAACGTCAAAACCTAGCAGGCCAGGCAGAACCTGTGGCATGGGACACATGTGCTTGCCACTGCTGTTAGCATATAGAGATGGTTCACGTGGTTTTGGGTTCGGTTCTTCGGCCTGTGTTTGGTAGGCAGGGCTATGCAATGGAAACGAAATCAGCTGAGCTGGGCAGTGAACTGTCTTCAGAAAGGGACTTTATTTCCAACAGAGTGTTCTGTCAATTCAACATGCATGCTGGGGCAATCAAAAGTGAAATCTCTCTCTCTCTAAAAATACTGTGCAGTGCAAAGCGCATCTTCTAAGCACTGAAAACGGCATGAGAGGGACTATGCACACTTAATATGGTGACCTAAGGTGTCTTCAGAGAGCAGTGTCAAGTTGTGCAACACCTGACATACTTTTATTGTTTCACAGGCAAAGTAATAGTTCTGTCATTCGATCAAATTCCCCAACAACGACATCTCAGATTATGGCCAGAAAGAAAAGAAGAGGGGTACGTTGCGTTTAATTCTTTTCCCGTGTGACAATTTGCATGTGTGCTGTGATTTTGCCCTTCAACATTTTTTATAAACTTCATGTGTTTTGTTTTTTTGGGAATAGATTATAGAGAAAAGGCGCCGTGATCGTATAAATAACAGTTTATCAGAGCTGAGGCGGCTTGTGCCAACTGCTTTTGAAAAACAAGTAAGCCCTTTTTTTTTTTTTGTAATTCTGTATCTCATCTGGCAATGTTAGTTCTCTTGTCCAACTCATTAAAATAATATTGTATGTGTCCTGATCTGGCACAAAGCAGGCATTTCAATAAAATGCTTTCTTGTGGCGAAACTATTAGAAACATAATTCATTATAAGGCTGAAAAACATTTCCATTCTTTGGCTTGTTTTTCCCTTAAGGGTAACTGTGTTCATGGTGCCTCTGTTCTTTCGATGAATTCCAGTAGTGGTTTTGTTAAAAATGCACTTTACTCCGTAGTTAAAAAAATACTCAAACCCAACACAACTCGCCCAAACTTTTATGTCAATTAGCCTTCTGTCTAAATCTTTAAATATAACCTCCTTCACCCCTACTTTAAGAAACCTTTATTTTTTAGTCTGTATTTCAGTTGCAGACTAATCAATCCAGTTTCCTGAAAAGGGAACAGACAGTCTGGATTATTCACGTTTTAAAATGACTCTTTAGAACCAGGGCATTAGGAGAGGGAATAGGCCCACCTCGTGTGAGCCAGCGAAGTTAGTGATATGTTCGAAGACTTTCAGTGAGAAAGTGTTCAGTGGGAAGGCTGGAAGGATCCAGCTAACTTTGGTTCAGCTCCTTGGTCATGAAAGAACAGACCGAAAAGTTAGAATACAATCTGTTCTGTAGAGAAGGGCATTTTGTTTATGCCATTCAAATTAAATTATTTATTTACTTTTCCATATCTTGATTCTTATTTTTGGGGCTTTGATTCAGTTTTTGGCCTTGTTCCTGTTTTACTGGAGGTATCTGAAGATCTATGGATATGTGCAATTGACACTACATTTGAATAAAAAGGAACCAGCTGAAAATAAAGAACCTGACTTTCTTGTAGTAGTAAAACAAAAAACAGAAAGTAAAATTTGAGAGCAGGATTGCAAGGTGCTGAACGTCAGTGGTAACTGCGTGGCAAGCACCGCACCATATTAGGCCTGTTACATCCCTGGTCTGAACAAAAGCTAAAAAGAAATTTTAAATATTGTTATCATGGTGAAAGCATCACTTGTGTCACCTGCAATACGCTTTTAATAACTAGTAGTTGTAACTGTGCCCTTCCATAGGTTCTGGCAAAATGGGGCAACAGAGGTATTTCCAGCTAGATAAACAGGGGCAAGAGACAACAGTTGTTTGTCCCATTTGATTGTTTACTTCTTAAAAACCACAAACATTATAAAACAAGTCCTACAGAGCCTTTGGAAATTACCCAGCGCCATGCAGTTTTTAGCTATTAGTCACTCTCACTGAGATGGCTTGTACTGTGTCTGTGGAAAAGATGAAGTCTGAGAAAAGTACAGGATGTAGTCGCATGTAAAATGGGGACTTCTGACCAAAAATTCACACGCGCACCAACCTAGGAAAGCGCCGAAGGCAATAAGCGGATTGACAAAAATGTATTGGCGTAAAAATGAGTGCGCGCTGTATTCTGTTCAGAAAGCCCCACCATTTTTCTGCAATATGCCAAGGACAAAGCCATCAGTCCTTTTCCAGCTCCTTGACATTCAGCTCACTGAAGTTTCCACGTTGGAGGTTTAGTTTCGCTTCCGCCTCCCTCCCTCCTTCCCTCCCCAAATCACAGCTCTGCTCTCCAGAGTCCCTTGCAGAGATTAGCGCTAGCGAAGCGGGGCTGCAGAGGAGGGTGTAAGCCTTACCAACTAACTTGCACGCTTGCAACCTGGGTGAAGCCGGCTGAGGCTGCAGGACGGCCGATGGCAGTGGGGCGGCCCGGATGATAAGTAAGAGAAGAATTTGGCTTGCAGGATGCGATTCGCCGGTGGCTGAAGCTTGTGCAGCCCTGGTTTTAACTGATGCCAAGGGATGATCGCTTGCACTGGAATAACATTTGCGTGGTAAACTCAGTCATCTGGGCGTGCTCCAGCTATTCCAGGGAATGCTACCATGCAAAATAGTTTTATTTATAGATTAATATTGTAATACTGCCTTTCGAGTTGTACTTTATACTTTTCCAGCACCTATTGTGGCTCTGTGAGTCACCCTCAGTAACAGAAGAGATTTTTACTGACAGAGAAGCTAAACTCTTCCCTTTTCACAGTGTGTAGCTTCATGTCCCTGCAAACTAGGCCTCTCGCTAACTTAAAATACGGTGGACTGTGGGGTTGTTTTTTCAGTCGAGAATGAGGATAGAATATTCAGCAGCCAAATGACATGTCGAAAAGTAATAGGCGATTAAGAAAGAGGGATACTTCTCGGTGTGTGTCCACAGGGACACCTACTGGTAAAAGCAGAAAAAAAATGTTGCAGCAGGGTCTCCATCGATCACTGTGCAGACCTGTCCTGCCGGCTCTCCGTTTGTGTTTGTCGTTAAAAAGAAAGCCCAGAAAGTTATGTATTTCTCTCATTTCATGAAGACGTCATCTCTGCACTATCTTCGTGGCCAGAGCTACGCTGAGCTATAGCCTTAATAAAGCAAAGTTGTGCTGCTGCTGCTTGTATTGCTAGACAGGGGATGGCATTAGTCCTTAGACAAAGTCTGGGAGGCAGATGCTCGCGAAAGAATTAAGCCGAGAATGTCTAACGATAGGGGAAATTGAAACCATAAGGCTGAGCTCAGTGGAAAGTATATCAAATGAAAGTTTCTAGTACTTGTAAGCCTTTGTTTATATGAGTCTCTTATCTCAAAGGGATCTGCCAAATTAGAAAAAGCGGAAATACTGCAAATGACAGTGGACCATCTGAAGATGCTGCAGGCGACGGGAGGTAAAGGTAAGGAGCCGACGGTTTCTTTTCTAATATTTGGGGAAATCTCAGCAAAAAAAGTGCTTTGAGGAGCCGTGATAGGCGTTTCCAGATTAAAGGAGTGGAAATCAATGCTAATGGCAGGATTGAACTCGTGGGAAAGAACTACTGGGACAAAAGAAGCACTTGACCCTGGGCTTGTGTTTGCTTTCATAACACTGTGGGAGTAAAGGCTTCATTCACAGGCAGCCCAGTCAGAGATTTGTTTGGGGTTTCCAAAGAGGACTGAAATCTGCACAGGGAGACAAAACAAATACACAAACACCAAACATAAACAGGAGGTTTGTGGCAACAATTGTGTAGCACAAAACCCATGCTAAACCTCATTATCCAGCAGCTATACCGAAGGAAGTGGATGGAGAGGAACTTTCATTGTTTCTGTATTTTCTTTGTTCTGGAAAGACTTTTAAATGCCAGGTTGGACCGTCTCATTCGCCAGAACAAACCCCAATCTTGCTCTGTGCAGCTCCAGGTATCTGATAAAGCAGACAGGCAGACGGCTAGCAGTGCTCTCTGCACTCGTATTTATATGCTGTATTTGTGTGTCAGAGGTCTGGCTAGCTCCCTGTTAGTGGGTGCTGGCGTGACGCAGGGACCGCACTGGCTGACCCACTAGATCAGCCGGCTGCCGGGAGTCGAGCGTACCTCGCTTCTGCAAGCTGACAGTCCCGACGCTGGAGGCCAAATGATTTCAGCCACCCATGAGATATTCTGTATAGTCATGATTCTGGAACTTATTTGGAGTGAAAAACTTGCTGGCCTCCTGTAAGCGCGGTCCCACGTCCCGTGCCATCGACTGTGATTACGATTCAAATTGTTGCAATGGAAACCAGCTGATTTTTCATTGACCCATTCTGCCATGTAAGTAAAGGCTAGAAAAGAGGCGGCTGCTGCTCTGTCTCTTACTTTTTCGATTAAACTCAAAAGTTTTTAGCCCATGACTGAATTACTGCTCCTTTCTGTACCTTGCCGCGATTACAGAATTCAACTTAGAATCAGTGCATGCTTAACAACAGATGGTTATAGGAAAGCATGTCGAAGGCTGGTGTTCTGTTATTTGTGGAAATTAACACCGAGCTGACATATGTATTTTCTAGGTGTTAAAAGGCTTTTGCTAGGAGTCCATTTAAGCTTAAAATTTATGGGTAGCTTTTTTCATAAGAGGTGAAAGGGATTTTATTGCCCTTCATATAACAGATACACCTCTTGATTCCTCGGAAAATGTGCAAAATTAAATTAAAAAAAAATCCTAATTTTTATATTTAAAACGTCCTTTAAAAAGAACTATTTAGTTGGTAAAGCTACACTCTTGAAAGTTACAGAACACCAGAATTAATCATGCTTGTGCAATTTGAATTCAGATCCTCTGTGTGTGTGCGTGATGGTGCCGTCTTTAATTGCATAGTTGCGTGCTGGCTTTCCCACAAGCTCTGTCTCACTTGGTGCATGGGGCGATCAACGCTCAGCTGCTGAGGGAAGCGGTGGTTGTTTCACTTCATCCTCCACATGCGACGTGCAGCTCAGCTATCCTAACCTCACCCCTGCTTCACGCTGCACATCATCCCTCTTAAAAACTGCACCAGCTCCCACCCCTCTGATGTTTGCACCAAGAGTGGGAGGGCCAGGAGGTCAACCCTCCTTCCCCTGCCTCCCTACCCCAAAAAAGTATGTGGGGGATTATTTTATAACTGGGTTAGGTCGGGTGGCCCAGCTAGCAGGGCAGGGGATGACGTGCCTGGGGTGGGAGCTGCTGGGCAGAGAGAGGTGTCGGCAGAGCCCCGGCCCCTGGCTGCAGCCAGACAAGCTGGATTTTATTAGCAGTCCCAGGTCCTGCGGTCTCTTCCTTGGCCCACCGCCGCTGCCGTGCCTCTCCCTGCCCCGGCTGACACCGGCGTGCCTGTGGCTGCCGGAGGGCGGTGCGGGGAAGGACGAAGCGTCGGGGTGCGGGGAGAGGCGATGCCGGCTTACACCCATATGAGCCCACTGCCGCCGGGTGTGCAACCGCAGCCACCTTCACGCCATACACAGCCCTGTTGGTCGCAGGTGGCACATCGATATAACACCCAACTGCTTCACAAATACTATGACTTTATCTTCTCCTTCTGACCCAGAGATAAGAGTAATCTCACTGCATGGATTAAGAAACTTTCAAGAAAAAGAGGTTTGCAAGTTAGTACCGGGCAAAGTTTAAGCCTGCGTTTCCTGCTTGCTTAATGTTTTACTTCACAACCTAAGTAACAGCTTTAAATATAATTTCTTAGGGTGTTTTTAAGGCAGACATTTGTTTTATTTGCAAGTGTAGTTATTCCCACTTTGTAACTCATCTTCCGAGCCAGAAACTTTTTTGGATCAGCAAAAAAATGAGTTCCATCATTTTTCCTATGGATCAAAGCTATTATCGCAGCAGGGTCCTGATACCCTTATGCTCCCCTGTGTTGAGGGCTGGGGAGAGCTCGTCCTCTTCCTCCTCACACAGAAATGGAGGACACCCACGATGGGGAATGCCTGGGGCTAAGAAAGCCAGGGTGGAGTCATCCGCTGCTCAGCGTGCTGAGCCCGAGGTGGGCATGGCAGAAGAAAACCGATGTGGCTCCCATCCCTTCTCTGCTTTTCAGAGCTGCCCAGGCAGGCAGGCTGCCGCCTCTGAGGTCCTGCACAGATTCCGTGTTTCCGCCACCCTGACGCAGGTGCGGGCAATGGTGTCCTGTTCACGTTGAGTTATTATTTTGGCCTGGGGCCAGGGCTTTTTGCTAACCATGCAAGCAAGCACAGGGGAGGAGTAATTTGTCAACAGCGAGTAGCTCGCTGGGACTTCGGTGTTGTTTTATTGCAGCTTCACTGCAAATTTAGCGTGGGTGACTGACACCTGGGTCAGCCACATGGATTAATATAGCTCAAATGACTTAACTGGTGTCCTGTGTGCAGAGCAGGTGGGTTACCAGGATAGCTGAAGGAAAACCGAGACTTCCCATTCACTACAAAATGCCGGCGTGTATGCATGTGGGTGGTGGTGGAGGATGTTCTTGGGTTTTGGAAAGAAACAAGAAACAACATTTTTAAGTCTCTCTCAGAAGGGGGAAGCTAGCAAAGGGGAAACCTGGAAAAGATAACCTTCAAAATTGAAACATAATGGAACCTGGGAGTCCCAGCTCTCATCTCCCCTCTGTTTTCATGTCTCGGCCACCGTAGGAGACTGAGAGGAAGCCAGGATCACCAGGGCTTTGGGACGGCTCGTCACAGAGCCAGCAGCTCACACTCAGGGGAAGCTGGTGACAACCACATCCCCCACGTCTCCTCCGGTCCGGAGGGAGGGAGGCCGGGAAGCCCTGGCTTGAGCTGCGCGCTCTCAGGACTCCCAGGCTGGCTGACTCGTGGCCAGAGCCGGGAGGCGGCTTTGGCTGCGCGACAGCCCCTCTGAAGCCACCGGAGGTCCTGGAGCCTCTGGCGCGGAGGCAGTCCCCATGCCAGGCTGGCTGGCACCCGAGCAGGTACCCTGCTAGCTCGCCACCGCTGGCCTGCCCGGCATTTGTTTCTCAGGAGTTCACTCAAACCGTGGCGTTTTCACAGATTGCTTGGTCGCAGTGGACCTGGGAAAAAACTGCAGGAGTCAGTGCTTGCCGAGACAAGTCCTCGACCCCTCATGCTCACCGATCTGCTGGCTGAGCCAGCGTTTCTCTCAGGTTTCGTACAGCCTCAGATCAGCAAGGCAGCCTGGGTCAAAATCGCTGTTGTAATTTGGCAAGAAGGGGTATACAGCAGGCAGGGGATTTGGGGCGATGTCTATAAATGTGCCCAAGTTAATCCCATAATGCGGGCGTGCAGTGACAGAAAGGCTGTTTTCTTGCTTGAAAGTTGATAAAAGTGAAAACAACTATCTAAGGTGCTAGCATTTTTCCGAAAGACTGAGATTATTTCATGCCAGAGAGTGCAAGGCCTAATGCAGGTATTTCTGCCACATTCCTCCATAATAAGGGCACTTGATCTTTATATACTAACACACATCATAGTCACACATACCTAAAAATGTTCACTGAAAGCAAGAGGAAAAAATGCCGTGCCAGCCTGGGAGCGGATAGGACATTGTTCCCCCAAGGAGACTACTTTTAAACTAAAATAGGAAAATTCCAAAAACTGGAATAGGTTTTTGTAGTTGATGAGCTGCAACTTAAGCACTAGATTTGATGCTAGACCCTTTTAGAAAGGGAGTATCTTTTCATGTGCATTTAATAAGGCTTTTCTTTTTTCCAAATGCTTTTTTGTCCCAAGCCTGTGGAGCTCCAGTTGCTGTTTGTTGAAATACCTCATGGGCCATATGACTGTCAGTCTTCCATCTCCAAATTAGCAATGGCATTACATAAAACGTTTTCTCAGTAAAGCTTTTTATTGTGTGTGTGCAGAGTCATGACAAGATGTTTTTAGTTTGTAGTTAAATAACACCGTATGTCATATTGTCTTAATGACTCTGTGAAGTAGATGGGACCCCGGCAGCAGTTACAACTATCTCACAATGTCGAGAAATAGTTTGAGGGCATTACTAGGAATGCCAGCGTAGGGAAGAAAAGGCAGGGTAGTACATGCAAGCTCTCTGATCTCCAGCCTGTTTCTTTGTGTGAATAAACGTCTGGTTCACACACACGTGCAGGGTCAATATTGCACTGCAGCAGCTTGCCGAGGAATTTCAGGAGAGGCATCGTATATCTTTTTAAGTATCATGAGTACTTATGGACTTAATTCTTTTCATTTGTATAGTCTGCAAAAACAACTGCAGCCTATTGCATTACAGGGATGGTGACACAAATCATTTACAGATCAGAGAACAAACTTTTCGCGTTGCAAATCTTAACCCGTAAATGGGAGATCTGGCGGCTGAGCGAGGACCGGGTTAGCCGTGTCACCTCATGCTGGCTGGGAAACCGGATCGACACTCAATGCATCTTTTGCCCTCCCCTTGCAGGTTATTTTGACGCTCATTCCCTGGCCATGGATTTCATGAGCATTGGCTTCCGGGAGTGCTTGACAGAAGTCGCGAGGTACCTGACTTCGGTGGAAGGTCTCGACACATCTGACCCCCTGCGCGTTAGACTCGTGTCTCACCTGAGCACCTGTGCCTCTCAGAGGGAAGCCGCCGCCATGACCTCCTCCATGGCCCACCACC